CTCTCAGGATCGCGCTGTTTCCTGACACGGGTGCTCCAGACCCGTCGCCATTTTCAATCCTATAGTACTTTTCTTTTACATTACTTTAATTCTACAAAGATTATTTTAAGCCACAAAGAAAAGTTAGCCTGTGGTGAACAATAAAATTGAAATTTAAATTGGTTAAGAAACAGCAAGCAACAGAATAGACACTTGGTAAGAGATGAATTACTGATAAAAAGGAAAGGTTTCAAGTAATCATAGTAAATACAGTTGAAAAAGGACAAAGATATTAAGGGAATTTGGGCATTTTTTTCTGTTATGCCTTTTCTAACTTCTTAAGTTGATTATCAGTCATTTACTTATTTATTTTTAATAATAAAAGCTCTTAAAGGTATAATTTTCTATAGGACATACCATTGGTTTTGGTTTTCATCACTTTATGTAATTTTAAATTTATTTTCCTTTTTTTCCCCACCCAAAGTGTTTCTTAATTTCCACTGTTTCTTAGTTGCTTTGTTTTGTTTGCTTGTCTGTTTGAGCTCTTCTGTCTCTTCATTAATTCTTCCTCAATAGAATCTACCTGTTTTAACTAACCAGTGGGCTGGTGCAGTGCAGTCCTCCTTCTGCTTCTACCCCTTCCTCCTCTCCTATGGTGATTCTTGCCTTGGTCTCTCTGGTAGAACCCAAGATTTTAGCCAGGGTTCCACTGCATCTTTGGCCCTGGCCAGGCATCACAAATTAAAAGCTCTGCACCTGCTCTACCCAAAGATCTCACAGCATCTGATCCCCTTCAGGCTCCATCAATGGGCTTAGTTTTCTTTTCTCACTAGCTCGAGCCACATTCAAGCTGCCAGCTTCCTAGACACAGATGTAGTGAAATAGAGTTTGTTTGTTTAGTATTCTAACCTCTTGTAATTCCTTTTATGGGAGGATAAATTTACATTATTCCTATCTGGGAAAACGTAAGTTCTTTAAAAGAGTAACAGGACAACATCCAACATTATTGACCATATTTCTCTCCTTGAAAGTCTCTCCTTTTTTCTTCCCTGTGACACCATTCTTCCAATATTCCTCAAACCTCTCAAGTAGCTCATTCTCAGTCTCTTTTCCTTCGCTTCTCTTCTACTATACGACCTCCAATCTCAATGTTGTGGCTTCTTAGGAATCTGTAAACTTTTGTTCCTATTCTATACACTTTCTCTTAAGAATCATATAGATAGATGTATTCAATTACCACATATCCATTAAAGATTAAAAATCTCTTCTGACCTCAAGCCCTGTATATATAAATGGCTCCTATACATCTTCACATAGATGATGGGTTTTTCAGAAGACCCTCAATCAAGCTCAACAGGTGAAACTTGACTCATCTTCTCTCAGAAATTTACTCCTCCTCTCAGTCAGAGTAACGCTAGGTGTTGTAAAACAAACAAACAAAAAATCACAAAATGTATAATGCTCAAATACAAGTATTTCTCTCTCATGTAATAATCTAAAACGGGTATTCCTGATAAGCAGAAAATTTTCTTCCATGTAGTGATTCAGAGGTCCAGCCCTTTCCATCTTGTGGCTCCACCATCCCTTTGGGCCTCATTGCCATTTAGTCATCAGAAAAAAGATAGCAAGGAAAAGGAATTCCCACTTCTTACAAGCTGTGACCTCCTGCTAACATTTCATTAGTGAGATTTAACCATATGGCCATATATACATGGATGGACAATTAGGAAGTATGTTCCTTAGATGGGAAGCCATTTTACAGTAGCAGCTTGATTCTATAAAACAGGGTACATGAATTCTGGTGTACAGTTAACTTTTTCTGCCACTTCCTATGTTTTCAATTTCAGTAAATGGCACCATCCCGCCAACTACCCATTTGCCCAAATCACAAATCCAGGTCTTCCTCAATTTCTTCCTTCTCCTTTAACTAATCACCATTAACCAAGTCTTATAAAATCTAGGTCTAAATCTTCTCTTCCCTTGTTTCCATCCTCATTTCCACTGCACAACCTCAAGCCCTAATTATTTTCTTGAGTTTTTCTGCTTATGAAATCTTTCCTCATTGTTTCCAGAGTCAACTTTTAAAAACTCCTTTACTAAAAAAGTTTTAGTGGATCTCTCTTTGGTGATAGGAAATTAAACTGTTATTTATCATACATTTATGACCTGACCGTTTATATTTTCCAGAATTATCTCTTGCCATTCCACATCCCTTGTACAACAAAGCCTTTGTTCTCATGAAGATTCCATTGCTATGCACTATACTGCAAGGTACAGAGATGAAAGTACATAGAACCTGTCTTTAAGAAGCTTGTATAAGTACCTGCAACAATAACTAGAATGAAACAAGGTACATAAAGTTTCTAACAAGCTATACTCTCTCACATCTTAGTTTCTATGTTGCTCCTTCTTCCCAGGTTTGTCCATTTGATGAACTGGATACTTTGCTCAAAAGTTATTCCTTCTATTTCATCTTCCTCCTGACTATCCATGAAACACAGATATGCCTTTTACTAGGCTCCCATTGACCTTCATACAGTATAAATTTCAATTGGAGCAATTTATCTAAAAGCTCCAATTTTCTAAATGCTCTAGATTTTCTCTGCTTCTGTCTGGCTACTAGACAGAAGCTTCATTTCTTACTGAATCATACATGATTGTACATATCTGTGGGATACAGTATTGAATATCAATACCTGTGTGCAATATGTAATGCTCAAATCAGGATAATTAGTATATTCGACATTACACAGTGTAATCATTTCTTGTGGCGCTTTACTAATTTCTTGCTAACTCCCTCTCCACCTCCCCCTTTCCCATCTCTGGTAGCCTCAATTCTGTTCTCTCCTTTTGAAAGTCCAATGAATTATTGTGATTGTTGTATCTTTCTCTTTCTCTTTTTTTTTTTTTTTTGTTTCTTTTTTAACTTCCACTTATGACTGAGAGCATGTGGTATTTCTCTTCCTGTGTCTGGCTTATTTCACTTAACATAATTTTCTCTAAGGTCATCCATGTTGCTGTGAATGGCAGAATTTCATTCTTTTTATGACAGAGTAGTATTCCATTGAGTATATATACTACATTTTCCTTATCCAGTTGACTAGACAAAGGCTTCTTAAAGACAGGTTCCATGTCCTTTCATCACTGTACCTTGCAGAGTCTAGTGCATAAAAGAAAGTAATCTTCATGAGAACAAAATCTGTTTTTTTCACCATTTTATCCCCCATGTCTAGCATACAAGAGATATTCAACAAGTGTATATTATATTAAATGAATTCATAATATATACTCAATCCTTATTTACTGAAGAAAATAGAGAAAGCATAGTTGAAAATATCGAGTCAGATAAGACAGTAGTTTGAATCCTGGCTCAAGTCTGTGACTTTGAACAAGGTATTTAATCTCCTAAACTTCAGAAGATTTTATAGGATTTTATAGGATGCTTTGAAGATTTTATAGGATCAGACTCTTGTAGACTACAGATAAAGTAAAAAAGCTCCTGGCACTGTTGTAACAATTACACTCTTATTATGAGGAATGGTTATTAAATAACCAATATTTATAGATGTTTCAGTATTCTTAAATATATAACTATGTTCACCAGTAGCACATTGAAACCTACAGCATTTTCATCTTGGAAGAAATTTACAGTACTTATAAAAAGTATTTAAAACATATCTAGATTGGTTTGTCTCAAATAAAGCACATTACAGTTTTCTGAAAGTTTTTATTTCTAGATCTAAGCTGGAATTTTCCCAGAATAAGAAAATATAAGGAAAAAAAAAGAGCCCCCCAAAAAAGAAATTTATGAATAAAATCTAACCTTAAATCAAGTAAATTATAAATATTAAAATGTTATATGATACAAACCAACTTAATTGGAAAAATAAGAGAATGTGCTTTACCTCACCAAGTCCAACGTCCCATGATTGCTTAGAATGCAATTTTTCCAAATGGATATTACCCCTCATGGTTAGAAATAAGACAATATTAAAGTTTACATTTTTCCCACCAAAAATTATTGTTCTAAATTATGGTTTCCAAACTTGGCTTCTGATCAGAATTACATATGGGAAGCTTTTTAAAATGTAAAGAATCAGGGGCTGGCTGGTTAGCTCAGTTGGTTAGAGTGCAGTGTTATAACATCAAGGTCAAGGATTTGGATCCCCCATACCAGCCAACCACCAAAAAATTAAATAAATAAAATAAAACATAATGAATCATGAGCTCCATGCCAAGGAGTCTACTTATTATGTGTGGGCCAAACTTGGAATCCTATAGTTTAAAATCAGTAATATGGATCTGCAGACAGTTTTAAGAACCATGTTTTAAATCACTTTCATAACGTACATTTTAAAACTCAACATGCTGTTTTTCACTCACAAGTATCTGGATATTTGGATATGTAACAACAAAGAACCTTATTTGTTAATTTTATAAAATGAGTTTGAGTCTATGTTTTAATTAATTTGTATGTTCCAATCCCATAAAAATGGCATCTATGTGTTCTTTTTACCAAGATATTTTAAATATTTTTTCCATGAGAAATCACTTCCAGAATAAAAATGTATTCTGGGTCATGATTTCAAATCACAAAGATATTACAATTATTAAGAAAGTTAGAACTACTCAGAAACAACTAGCTAAAATAAAGTTTTCTTTAATTTCCTAAACTTGCCAGTAAGGCAGCTCCAAAACACCATGGAATAAATTAAATTTCAACTACAGTGGATGAAATTAAAAGTCACCTTAAGGGCCGGCCCGGTGGCGCACTGGATAGTGCGCCGCTTGGGAAGCGCAGCGGCGCTCCCGTCAGAGGGTTCGGATCCCACATACAGACCGGCTCCCGCTCACTGGCTGAGCGAGGCGCGGGAGCAACACCGAGGCTTGCGATCCCGTTGCCGGTACCCGGTCCGGTACGGGGGCAACACTGAGGGTTGCAATCCGTTGCCGGACACGGAAAAAAGACAAAAGACAAAAAAAAAAAAAAAAGCCACCTTAAATACAGAACATTTTGTACACCAGCAGTCAGAAAATGAAGTAAAATCTGGTGCAGTCTGACTGTTTTCTCAGAGGAAAAAAAAATGTCAACGATGGGGTGAAAGAGATGGTAATCTTGAACACAGAGAACACAGGGAGTCTCAGTGGTAAATGCTGGCAATGAGGAGAGTGCTCTACCCCATAAACTGCTGATAGCCTTGTTTATGCCACTAGCATTTGAATTCTATTACTGCCTATTCTGATTTCATACTAACCAAGCAATCTTCCCATGGAGAGTTGCCTGAAATTATGAAAATGTGCTTTTCATGCCAGTAAACATTCCTATACATATGACCCTTCTATTTCTTACTGTAAATTAATAAATTGACAATCTGGTGGGTATATGAGTTTCTTGAACATGTATGCCAGTTTTCTCAAATCTAATCAATACTAATATTCAGATAAAAAGGTATTTTGGGGTTGAGTTGACAAATATGAGCAATATACTCTTAACTAGGGTGATATTATCAAGATTGTGACAACTGGTAAGGCTTCTTTAAGACCAGGTTGCCCACCCTCAGACAGCAATATGCTTAACACACTTTGCATCTGTTCAACCTTCAACATGCATTATACTAAATCCTGATTTGCATTTCCCAGATTTACCTAAAAATTTACATATAGGTCACTGGATATATCTGGATATTTTTCTGTGGTGTCTTTTCCTGGTAATCATTTTCAAGTTTTCCTTCAAAAGTAAAAATATGCATTGAATTAAAAATTTAGCATAGTCTAGTCTCATTTTTTAATTCAAAGCACATTAGCATGACACGTACAGGGAGAAATCATGGGTCCACAATGTCATATAACAAAAAGTCATTCTATTTTTGGTTTCATGTTCCTCTAAAAACACACACACACACACATGCACACACGCACACACACAAATAAATGTGTGTGGATGTGTGTAAACACTAGAAATATATATATATTTATACTGAAACTGAAAACAAACAAAATAGAATAGATTATATTCCATGTATAACACCAACCTTTTTTGCCAGAGCTGGTTGGGCAACAATCCTTCTCAAAAGGTGTACTAAGATTATTTCTTTCATTATTGTTGTTCTCTTTCTGATAGCTCTTGTTTGGCTGACACTCTTCTGGATAACTTGTTTTATTAAAAGTAGAATTATTAAAAGTTAACTCTGGATCTGTGAAAATGCTTCCAATGCATCCATCAGTGGAATGATTTTTATCAGAACTAGTGACTACACAAATATTTCTCATACTATCATAACCACACCTGTCAAAGGTTTCCTTTATCCTTTGTTGATCTATGTTTAATAAATTTGTCACATTTTGACTAACGAAATAGTCACAATTCTCTGACAGAAGGCTAGGAGGTGGCTGGTTCACATCTTCAAGATAATTTGAAACCTCTTTTCCATTTTCTCTCCAAATATATTGCACTGATTGTTTTTCTGGAATGAAGTCTGACTGTCTTCTTTCATCCATGCTTCCACAATCTTCACCCATAATTATAGCCGGTCTTTTAGTAAGGAAATTCCCATTTCCTGGTCTTTGGGATAAATAAAAACATACTTCTGAAGAAAAGCACAAATCATTTTCATTCAGAGACACTTTAAAGTTAAATTCTTAGAGAACATATTGAGTAGCTACTAACATTTACCTAGGCTACATTTTAATTTTTATATTTAAATAAATAGGATTGCTTTGGGTGAAAAATTGTCTAATGTATTCTTCTAATGATTTACTGGATATAAAAGTAACCTACACTCAGTTTTGTATTTCAACATTAAAAATTAATGCATGGTTCAATTTACTATTATATTAACAGAAAAAAAAAATGAACAACTTATAGTATGTCTTCTGTAACAAAGTCTAACAAACAACCTAGACAACCAATGTATGTAACTGCTATTCCATTTAATCAGAGAAAAATATTTTGAAGACCGTGCAGAGAAAAATTATCCCCAGTGTTAAAACATCAAATCAAATAGTTATGAGAACACTGTAAGAGATATTTCTCTTAACCTTACAAGCATATAAAATCAACTCCAAAGTTCCCAAGGAAGAACAACATAGACACAAATGTGTATGTAAGTAATACAGTCAAGAGATAAGATGAATTAGATGAAAATTAATTAGGTGAATTAAATAACTTGTAAGTTCCCTTCTAATGCAGAAATAATAATTCTAGGTTAAGTCTAACTTGTGACAAGAATCAAAGCTATGATAGAAAATAACTAGAAATCAAGATGTTTTTGATTTTATTGCCAGTTACTACATACAAATTTATTTGGGAATGGGTTGTTTCAGAGATTGGAGGCACCAAAGAAATTTAGAAAAGAAACACACACACTTTCACAACTCTGACTGATTTCTAATTTTATTTTTTAAGTTATATATCAAATGTTTAACAGACACCTACCGTGTTCTAGGCACTACGCCATGTGTTGGGGACAGAGACAAAATAACTCAGTTTGGTATTAGAGAGAGGGTAATGTTTTGTCCATGAATGTTCACAGCTGATGATCCTACACTGTTTCTCACTAATGGTCTTACTGGTGTTTCAGGCAGAATAATGCTATTTTGTTATACCAAAAGACATTATCTATATTATGTAATAATATATGTCATTAACACCAGAGAAATATGTACTACTCCAAATAGGAGAATAAATGTAAAAGTGTGTAAAAGCACTTCGTAAGTTACAAAGCATGCTATAAATGTAAATCATCATTTTTTAAAAGGAATCGTAAGCATTCTGACTCAGGAGAATCACTCACTAAGAGATCTGGATAACAGAGAAATATATAATACATAATTATTCCCAAGAATAAATTTATAGCATAGAAGAGGAAGGAAAAAAATTACAAATTTGTAAATGTTATCCTATAGTCAAGTGCTACTATAATAAACAGAAAGAAGAGATTCTTCTGCTTGAGAAAAAATCAGGTAGGTGACATCTGACTGGAGGACTGAATGCTGGGAAGAATTATTACTTATAGAGATGACAGAGAGAAATGATGCAAAAAACCTATTCTATTATTCTATTCTTTATTCTATTCTATTCCTCATATTCTATTGAAGAAAGATAATAAACTAACCATTAATAGGTACAATGGATAAGAAATAAAGAAGTAAACAAATACAAAAGATAATCACAGGTACTGTAAGAGCACATGATGCAATATCTTGTGTTGGAGGTTGTGTTTCAGATAGTTTGGTCAGGAAAGTCCCTAGTAAGGATGTGATAAATAAGCTAAAGATACAAATGGTTAGACATGTGAAGGGAGTAAGCACACTGCAGGGAGATGGAATAATAAGCGTAAATGCAAGATTTTCAGTATGTTTGAGAAAAAGAAAAGGAGTAAAGCCAGATTAGAATCAGTGAAAGAAAACTTATGACCTAAGGCTAACAAGGTACAAAAGGACCCAGATTATGGAGAGACTTTTGCCTTGGAAAATATCATTCTGATGCTGGATGAGGAATGAATTTCAGGATTTCCATCTGGCCAAAGTGAAATGAGAGACCAAATTTACCCTCCTGACCAACATAATTTAAAAAACTGGACAAAATATATGAGACAACAAAATATATGGGACACCAGGTGGGGCATGACAATGATTCCTGAGAAAGAGAAAACAAATGAGGAGAACTCTGATTGCTCCTAGTTTACTGCCTAGAGAGAGTATCCAGGCCACAGCACAGGGAGGGGGAACCCAATCAGAACCCAGCTGACTACCTATGTTGAGGAAACAGAGCTAGGGGTCCAGGGAGTCTGCCGAGGATAGAATTCACAGGTTAGAGCACAATATAGGAGAGTGCTTCAAAGAGAGCGCTCCGGAGATCTACAGAGCGTTCTTCTCAAGTCTTCAGCTAAGTACTGATCAGCACATGCATGTGAAGTAATTACCAGAGGCTGAGAAAAAAAACCACACAAGATGAGGAGATGCAATAATCCCAGCAGCTCACAAAGAGCTGGGAAAATCTTGTGTTTCTACCCACCAGAGCAGAAAACCTCATAATTCAAGGGGAATCAAGAAAGTACTCAGAAGGATACTGCCTCAGCAGTGGGACAAAAGGTAAGTGAAGGCTTACCGGTCCTGCTTAACAAAGTTTAAAAGCAAGCCACAATAAGATCATGCCATTTCCAAGTAACTAAGCTGTATCCCAGATCAAAGCTTAGGGCTATTTGTAGGAATATAAAAATTTCCAGCAACCAAAAAGATAAAATTCACAATGTATAGAATCCAATCAAATTACCAAGAAAACAAAGAAGAAAACTGCAATCCATAATTAGGATCAAAATCAATTATTAGAAACAGACCAAGAAATGACACAGATGATGGAATTCATAGAAAAGGACATTAAAAGAGTTATCATAACTATATTCCCTATATTTAAAAAAAAATAGAGGAAAGACTAAGCATGTTTAATAGATACATGGAAGATATAAAGAAGAGTTAAATCAAACTTCTAGAGATAAAAAATATACTGGACAGGATTACCAGCAGATTAGACAACAAAGGAGATATAAGGAAATACTAGTAAATATCGCAACATAATCTATATAACCTATATAAAATGAAATAAGAAAAAAGACTGAAAAAAAATGAACAAAACATCAGTAAACTGTGATACAACGTCAAACAGACTAATTTACTAATTTGAGTTCCCAGAGGAGGTAGGGGAGGAGTCAGAAAAAATAGAGGAAATGGTTGAAATTTTTCCAAACTTGATATAAAATCCATAGATCCAAGAAGCTCAAAAAAGCCCAACCACAAGAAACAGAAAGAAAACGAACATCCTAATCAAAGGATAGAAATCAATGTTAGAAAATCCATGATAGAGAAATCTGAAAAACCGAAAAATTACATATCATATTCACAGATATTAAGATAGGAATGCATTAATCACTAGCAGACCTATACTATAAAAATGTTAAAGGAAGCCTTTCAAACAGAAGGAAAATGTCATCAGAGGGAAATCTAAATATACACAAAATAATGAAGACAACTAAAAGTAATAAATATGTGCTTAAACATAAAAAACATGTTCTTTATTTTTTAACTTTCAACATGTTCTTTTTTATTTTTCAACTTCCTTTAAAGCAAAAATAACAACACTGTATTATCCGGTTTATAACATATGCACAAATAAAATGCATGAATACAACAATGCAAAGGCCTAAGAGGAGAAATGCAAGTATACTATTGTAAGGTTTTCATACTATACCTGAAGTGGTATAATATAACTTGAAGTTAGTCTGTGAAAAATTAAGATATATCCTATAAACTCTAAAGCAATTACTGAAAAACAAAACAGAGTTATAGCTAATAAACCAACAATAGAGATGAAGTCATGAAAAATACTCAAATCAAAAAAAGATTTAAAAAAAGAGGGAAAGGGAACAAAGACTATACAGAACAAATAAAAAACAAATAACAAGAGGCCAGACTTAAACCGAACTATATAGGTTGTCACATTAAATGTAAACCTTATTCCTAGCCATAATACAAGTCCCAATAAGTTTTAAAGGATCAAATCATACAAAGTATGTTCCCTGTCCACAATAGAATTAATTCAGAAAGGTAACAGGAATGTCTTGGAATTTCTACAACCAAAATAACAAATTTCTAAGTAACCCAAAAAAGAAATTAAATGGAAAATTACAAAGTGCAGTATTTTGAACTGAATGAAAATGGAAACACATCAAAATCTGAAAGATGTAGCAAAAACAGCAGTTAGTGAAAAAGTTACCGCTCTCAATAGCTGTATTAGAAAAGAAGAATGGTCTCAAATCAATAACTTCAGTTCTTGCCTTAAAAAACTAGAAAAGGAAGAGCAAATTAAATCCAAAATAAACAGACAAAAGGAAATAATGAACAGTGTAACTCAATAAAATAAAAAACAGAAAAATAGAGACATGTGAAACTAAAAGATGATTCTGTGAGAAGACAATATTGATAAGTCTCTAACTAGGATAATCAGGAGGAAAAAAAGAGAAGACAGAATTTGCCAATATCAGTAATGAAAGAGAAGACAGCACTATAGATGCTAAGAATTTTAAACAGATGATAAGGGGATATTATGAATATCTTTACGTCAATAAATTCTACAAGGGAGAAAAATAGGTACATTCTTTGTAAGACACAAACTACCAAAGCTTGCTCAAGAAAAAATAATCTGACTGGCTCTATGTACAGCAAAAAATGGAAAATGTATTTAAAATGCTTCCCATTACAAAAGACCACTACCAAGTAGCTTCACTGATGAACTTTACCAGAGATTTAAGAAGTTATACCAATTCCACACAAGCTCTTTGAGAAAATTAAACTGGAGATAATACTTCTTAACTCATTCTATGTCATTGGCATTAGGCTGATATCAAAACCAGACCAAGATATTACAAGAAAATAACTGTACAAAATAACATCCCTCGTGAAGATGATGCAAAGATACCTAACCAAAATTTAGCAAATCAAATCCAAGAATATGTAACAAGGATAACATATTGTGACCAAGTGGAGTTTATCCCAGAATTACAGGTT